AAAAATGTCAAGTGTCAGCTTCAGTGAAATTGTCTTTTAGTATTTTCAGCCACAAAAGCTTAATTCTCTTCAATTTCTGGTTTTATGACCAAATATCCTGAAGATACCGTTTTTCTTCTTTTAAAGTAGCCAATGTTTTCATTGCTTCTAGTTTTTCAACTCCAGCCTCTCTGCTTATTATTTCCACAAGGGCATCATTTACATCCTTGGCCATATTCTTAGCATCTCTAGAAAAGAAAATAATAGCATCATCGCTTATGGAGTAGGAATTTTTACCAAAGCCTCCTCAATTCACAAATCTAATTCCCTTGACTCCACCATCTTAGTTCTTCCCACCCTCTTCCCGGAACAGGTCTCCCAGTCTCATTCACACCCAGGCCCAGGCCTTCCCCACGGTGACCATTCTGTTAATAAAAGGCAAAGCTGACCACACTGTCAAAAGCCTCCACACGCTTCCAGGTCCCCAGAGCAGCCTAGCGGTTTGCTAGGAGTCTGAGAATTGTCTGAGGGCGCATGCGTCTGGCTCCTGCTGGCCTCTCTCACTCCCTGCCCTCCACTCTGAAGGCACAAAGTGGACTCACGCTCTTGAAGGAACAAGCTCTCTCTCACTTCTAGGCCTATTCCACACACATTGTTAGTAACAGACACCTGTACTGAGGATTTATTACATGCAGGGTCCTTTCCTAAGTGCTTTTACATGTCTTAACTCTTCAATTTATGAGATGGGAGAGGTGCCCCTCCCGGGTGCTTCTGCCATTCCCTACAGAAAGAACACTTCCTATAGAACACTTACGAGGTTGGAAGCCCCTGCTTCCGTGGCTTTCCCACTAGGGAGTAAGTTGTTGGAGGGCAGGGAGTATATGTCATTTATCCTTGTACCTCCAACATCTGAACGGTGCCCAAGCACTCAGCAGGTACTTAAATGTTTGTTGCACGAAGGAAAAAAGTGTCAGGCAGGATTCTCACATGTTAGGAACTAAACCTGTCTTGGCCCCTCACAGTGAAATTTTTTGAGGTGTCTATAGTGGCCATATGACCTTTCTCAACAGCTCTCCCATCAACCACTCCCACGGCCCTTCCCAGGGTCGTCAGTGGCTACCATGTTGCCAAACTCCCTGCTGCCCTCTGTCTTCTCACTTGACTTATCAGCAGCACAGGCCCACTCCCTGGGACACCTTCCGCCCTGGCTTCAGGACAAGTTTGCTCCTTCTTCAGTGGCTGTTTCCTCTCAGTCTCCTTTGTGCCTGCTTCCCTGGCAGACTCACTTGTCAAACCATGTTCAAGTGCTCCAGGGTTTCATTCTGAGGCCTCGTCTCTGACCACTGCTATTAAAGCTTTCAAGTCCATTTTACACATGTGAAAAGTGAAGCACCAGTGATTAGGTAAAGCTATTTCTGGGATAATGTTTTATGAGACTGGATGTTTAAGATAGTCTCCAAGTTCTCAACTACCAGTTAGTTGTATATATCTGTACAATTAACTCTGCCTCTTCTATTTAGAGGTGTTTCAAAAACCGCAGTCTATATTTGACCACTGATGTCACTGTCCTCTATGAACAAGATGACAATCAAATAATTCATTAAAAGCTAAATGAAAATGTACACTAACATAATTTCTAGAATTTCTGCCCTTTCTCAATCTAAAGCTGCGGTCCCCAAACCCGGGTACCGGTCCACAGCATGTTAGGAACCAGGCCGCAGAGCTCCGCCTGCCCCCGACCCAGTCCATGGAAAAACTGTCTTCCATTAAACTTAGGAGGGGTGGGGCACACAGCAGCAGGAGGTGAGCAGTGGGGGAAGAGAAGCTCAACTCTATTTACAGCCACTCCCCACTGCTCGCATCACCGCCTGAACTCTAGCTCCGCCTCCCCCATTCCTTGGAAAAATTGGCTTCCATGAAATTAGTCCCTGGTGCCAAAAAGGTTGGGGACCACTGATAAAGCAGTGTTTTTCAACTAAGAGTCAAGATCTACTAACAGATCATGAAATCAACTGAGTAGCCAAACCCAGCTTTTTAAAAAAATTAAGCGATAAAACAGAAGAAAAATGATTAGAATATGTCATAAAAAGTAAGTCGAAAATA